CACAGGGCTGGGAGCCCCTCATCTCTGCCTCCAAATGACCGCAGATGCCACCTGGAGTTAAGGGACCAGGACCCAGCTCCATCACACCCAGTAGGAGGGAAGGAAGCCCTCCCCAGCCCGAGCTTCACCCCAGAGCAGGAGGGATTCCTGCAGACAGGGTGTGTGCTGGGAAGATGTCAGCAGGGAGATAAAGAAGGGGGATTTCCCTGCAGCAACCGGGTCACTTCGGGAGACAGCCAGGGGAGGAGGGGGAAGGGGAAATCCCCTGTCTTCTTGGCCCACGTTCCCAGGAGAAATTCCCCGGTGGGAGACGGGCAGTTTCCTGCTTTGTTCTCTGATTTCCATAGCTGGGGCCTGCCCTGAATGGCGCTGAGGGGGGCACAGCACGGCTGATGCACACTGCAGTGGGGTCCATCTGTCCCACCGCAGGAGCATCCATCCGTGACGACCCCAGCCCTGGCACCAGCGGGGTTGGAGAGCCAGGAATTTCACTTCCCAGCAAAGCCACAGAGCAGCCCCCAGCCCCCAGCTGCGATTCTCCTGGAGCGACCCCCCCCAGCACCCAACCCTCAGCCTGGGGAGCCCACCCAGCTCCAGACCAACCAGCACAGCTTTCCCATTTTCCTCATGGTCACTTTGTGCTGAGGTCCCACTCGCAGAGCCTGGGCAGCCACAGTGCCCCTCTGTGGGCTGCTCTGCATGTCCCCATCCCTGCTGAGCACCTGCTATGTGTCTCACAGGGCACAGAATCCAACCTCAAGCACTGGGGCTGCAGTGGGACCTCGGAGGCACTGGAAGGAGTTGTTTTCTTAAGAGCTTTTCTCCCCACCCCTCTTTAAGCAAATAACTCAGTGACCTTCCAAAGACCTGCTCCTGATTCCTGTGGTCAGCAGGTCCTCAGTGGGTTCTCACACGACCACGCAAGTGCTGCGAGGGGATCCGTGCCTGTGGCATGTGCCAAAACATCTGGAGGGCCTGGAACTCACAGCTGGAGGGTTTCCATTTTTGGAACTGTCTGTTATATAAAGCCATCTCACACATATGGGAGGGAGGAGGAAGGGGGAGCAAAGGGGAAGAAATGCATCTTCCCGTGGAAAAAAAATACATATATCTGTATATAAATAAAAGAAGTTTCCCTCTGATCAGAGCTGGAGAGGGCAGCGGGGTCGGGCAGCCCCAGTGATCCGTTGGCTGAGCTCAGCCCTGCACCTCATGGCCACAACCATGGCACGCAACCCCGCTCTGTTACAGCAGAGCTACCTGGGGGTAGGGGCTGCCCCACAAGCCATGCCCCATGGAACACATTTGGGGATGCAGAGAGGCACCGGGAACTGCGGCACTGCCTGCAGCTGTGGGTTCAGTGCCACCCCCAGCACAGAGCTCAGCCCCGCTGCCATCCCCATCCCGCAGCCCCACACTCACCTTTGCATGGATGGCAGGTCACCAGCCCCAGGAAGCCCAGCAGGCTGATCTTGTTGCCTGGGTAGGTGTAATTAGACCAGGCCACGTCCACGTTGCCGTTGGCGCAGCACTCTTCCCACGTCACGCCTGTCTTCAGGATCATGGTGCACTTGGCCTCCTTCCCCTGCTGCAGCCAGCAGATCCCACCTGCAAGGAGGGCAGAGGACGGGGCTTAGCACACTGTGTGATGCCTGGCAGCAGGCAGACAACATCTCCTCAAAGCTTTTCAGGACCCCCTGCCCAGCACCATGAGCCCCACGGAGGGACCATCCCTGCAGCACGCAGCCCCACACACTCTGCCTTTGTGAGCAGGGCACTTGACACAGCCCTTGGGACACGGCCAGCCCAGCGGCATCTGATCCCACTGAGTCAAAAGCCTGTTTGTTCCTTAACCTCATGAGCAAATCATTTATACTATTTTTTTTTTTTTTTTGTGAGTGATTCCTTTGCAATTTCCGCCTCTGCGAAGCAGCCTCTTCTGACGCTTATTTGGGTTTATGTTCTCATTAGCTGCGTTTGAGGTCTGTTAAACGGCTAAAGATGTGCTCAGGGTTGGGGGAAGGGTTGGATCCCACTGCCAGACACCAGCACGGGGCTGGAGCTGCTCTCCTCCAAAGCAAAGGCTCATCCACGGGGCATCAGCACCCCCCACACCACCTCCCCCAGCCCTATTTCGCTTTGGAATTCCACAAGGGAATGCTGGTGTGCTGGCAGCAGCTCCCTGCAAGGACCTGAGCCCATCAGGGTGGGCATGGATGGAGCAAACCCCACTGGCCCTGAGCTGTGGGCATCCAACAGCTCACATCTGGGCACCATGGAGCGCAGCACGATGTCAGCGTGGCCCTGCACCCTCCGGGAATTTGTCCAATGGTTCTTTGAAGCCCCTTTTTCCTCCATGATATCCTGCCATCCCAATTCCCCCTACATTACCCAGAAACAGCCACATACCTGCAGCACCTGGGGCTGCAGCAATGCCAACACTGCTGGATGTGGGGTGCTGGCACACGGAGCTGTGTTTGCTGCTACGGGCACCCGCACTGACAGCCTTTGCATCCCAGCACCGGTGTGGGGACCCTGCATAAAGTTCACTGGCTTTTTTTTTTGCTCCTTCTGGACTGTGAAAGAAGCAGCCTGAGCACTGCAAATGGTGCTGCTGTAGGGGAAGCCCAGAGGCCAGGCATGGCCTGAGCAGGAGGCAGAGTAGAATGCAGCCCCAGGTCAAGCTCACTCTACTACCGGCTCTGCTCCCACTGCCAGCAGCAGGTAGGAGCTGGGATGTGCTCATGCCAACAGCACCTGCCCACGTGCACGCTGCAAGCCTAGAGCTTCCCAAAACTCTCCTTGGTTTTTCCATGGCTCATGGGTGCCTGACGCCCACAGGGAGAGACCTCCAGGGAAGAGCCGGCACGGAGCCAGGAGCTGCATTGAAACAGCCCAGGAAATTCCCATCACGCGATGCTTGCTGTGCCAGGAAAGTGGGAGCATGGTAGCAAAGCCAGACCCTGCCTGGTCCCATGGTCCCCAGTAAAACCCAGCAGCCTCCTGGTGCCTCCAGAGCCCAGGAGATGGTATGTAAGTCTGATAGCATCCCAGCAGGGATCTTTGGCGACTTCATTTGCAGAATCATCGCCAACAAATGTGAGCTGGCTGCTTGCATGCTTTTAAGTAAAACCAACAAAATATGAAAATGTGAAGCCTCCCTTGGATGCCATGCACTGGAACCTCCTGCCTTCACCCCAGCACTGTGGTTCCAATATTCCCTCATGCATGGCAGCCCCAGCAGCAATGGGCAGGAGGGCTCCGGGCTGTGCTGTGAACACATCTGGCAGCACGCAGCTATGCAGCAGGGGATGGCTCAGGACCTGGCACTCCAGTGCTCACAGGGAACCGCAGGGAAGCTGAGCAAGAGGACAGCTGCGACACGTGCAAGCAGGAGCTGCTTTCACACTTCCACAGGGCTGAGTCCCACTGACACAGGAGCAGCTTCCCCAGACCCTGCAGCTCCCAGCTTCTGCTCCATCCCCATGCACGTACCCCACATACACAAAGCAGCAGACAGCAGGGAAGTGGATGTGCCCCAGGATGTGTGGGGGCTCTCCAGGCACCCCATCCTCTGGGTTTCCCTGGCACGTTGGCTGTATCACTTTCCATGCTCTTACCTGCAGCAGTCTGCAGGACATGGGCTCAAGCCAGAGGTAGCACACAGCGCTCACACCTGGGGCTTCTCAGTGTTTGAATGGGACCTTGTGAAGCAGGGAGAGGAAATCCCACGGTGTGAAGCAATGCTGCCCGTGATTCTGAGAGCTGCAGCACCCCTGGGCATCTCATAAGAGCCCCTCTTGTCCTCTGGGGCACCTCAACGCCGTGCTGTCCAGGGAGTGCTGCTCCCTGCCCATGCTGGCAGCGTGTGATGGAGACAAACGTGATCGTGCGGAGGGGAAGATGGAAACTCCAGCAGTGCTGCAGAAGCAGTGCTGGCAGGCAGCAGCCTCTGCTGAGCACAGCAGGGCTGAGAAGGGCTGGGAAGGGTGACTGGAGCCCAGGGGTCTCAACTAACCCAGGCACTCTGTGGTTTCCCCACATGGCTACGGCCACCAAGCCGCCTGGATGCCAACGAGTGCCCGTACAAGCTGCCAGCACAGTCATCTGAACAGGGAGGGGTTGGAGCTGGAAACTCCACACCCAACCCACGAACTGGCCGTGGCTCCCAGTCCTTCTCAACTTAGCGGAGTGGTTTGCACAGCTCGATGCACCACGAGCAGTGAGATCCTCTGCGGGACCCTCTGCAGGACGGGCAGCTCCAGCGGCTGCATTCACCTCCAGCCCCGGTGCTGGAACCAGGACAGCGGGTCGATGCACGGCACCGCCTCGGTACAGCTGTGTCAGCGGGGTCGCGCTGCCCAGCCGGGCACTCGCTACCCGCTGTTGTGCCCCACAACCGACGCTGACAAGAGACGAACAGGACGGAGAGGATCCGAACCGACAGCAGAGCCCCGTTCCCGCTCCAAGATCAGCACCAGCCCTCAGCCAGCACCGGCGGGGTCGGGACGGATCGGACCAAAGCGGAGGACAAGCCGGTAACGGCGCCGGGACTCGGGGCCGCCCCTGCCCCCGCCCCAGGCACCTGCCGGCAGGACGGGACGGGACGGGGCGCGGCTCGTCAGCTCCCGTCGGGCGCGGCTGCCCCGTTCCCCCCGCCCCGAGCTCCCTTACCGTGAGTGGCGTCGCCGCCGGCGAGGCTGCAGAGGACGAGCAGGCAAAGAGCCAGCCGGAGCGGCATGGCCGGGCCGGGCCGAGCCGGGCGGCGGCGGGACGGGACGCGACCGGGACGCTCCGGGACCTGTTGGCTGTGAGGCGGCGGCGGGGGCCGGCGGCGTTATAAAGCGACGGGGCGGCGTGAATCACCGGGCGGGGCGGCGGGCGGGACGGGGGGGGAACGGGGCGGCGGGGAGGGAGCGGGGAAAGGGGGGGAGCGGGGAGTACGGGGTGAGGGGTGATGGCGTGGGGGGAACGGGTCCGTGTGTTCGTGTGTCCGTATGTCCGTGTGTCCGTATGTCCACGGCTGGACCGCCTTGGCTGGCGATACAGAGGGGGCAGTGGCACAGCCAGCTTTTGGGGTACCCCCAAGCTGAGGAGCATACAAGGAGCAGGAGGAGAGAGTTTTGCATGGGGAGACCCCGATGAATTGACTGCTGGAGGGGAGGGTGCCCACCTGCCTGACCCTGTACCCCTGCAGCCAGAGTGAGCCCCCCGATCCCATCTGGAACCTCAGAACCCTGCTGGGTCTGTGCTGCGTGGCTCCTTTCAGCTTTGCTTCCCGAGCAGCTGTGCAGCTCCGCAGTCCGGCATCACCCACGCTGTGCCAATAGGGAAACTGAGGCACTGTCAGGTCCCACTTCCTCTGGCAGCAGCAGCCCTTGTCAGAGCAAGCCCTGCACAGTGTGGGAGCAAAGGAGAAGGTCTGGGGGGGTTGTACCCCCCACGACACACACTGTCACTGAGGGCGGGGGTCCTTACCAACATCCTGTGGTCTCCTGCCTGGTGCCATCATGCCAACAACATGTTGGGGTACAACCAGAGTCCTCAACCATCAGCCCAGAGCAGAGAGCCAGACCACGGGGTCCCTCCTGCCTCACTCCTCCTCGCTGCTGCTCCAGGGGCCTTTTCCAGCCCGTGAACCTCCCTGTCCCTCCACGCTGTGCAGCTGAGGGGAACACGTTACCCTTTGCACTGGCCTCAGCTGAGGTCATGTTTTCAACAGATCTGGTCTGGCTCTTTCAGGAGAAGGGGCCCCATGCGGATGGCCCTGGGGAGCTCGCACCACCCCTCTGCTCCGGCAGCGACCGCCTCGCTCCGAGCTGATGCCAGCACAGCATGAGAAGATCACTCTGGTGCAGGATCTGGCTGGATGCAGTTTGGGTCCAGCAAGACACAGAACAGCAGTGGCCACATGGCCAGAGAGGGGTGTGATGCCAGCAGGACCACAGGCAGGGCGATTGTGTCTGCTGCCACTGCCTTGTCCCTCCCTGCCAGGGAGTGGGAATGGGGAGCTGCCAGCTCTCCACTGAGGTCAGTCTCCTCTCTCTTCTCCCTCTGCACCACTAGGGAGTGCAGAATTGGGTTTGGCTTTGGTATAAGCTGTAGAGCATCGCTGAAGAAGCCCTTGGGGCCTGAAGTGCCACGTTGCCTGTGAGCAGAGCGTGTGCTGTGGGGCATGGCAAGGCGCCTGCTGTCCCAGAGGAGGATGGAGGGACCTGGGAGCCCAGGGAGCACAGGTTTGCAGCATGGTGCCGGCCTCAGGCTGAGCAGCTGTCCCTGCCTCGATCCCATCTCTGTGTTCCCAGCATGTGCCATCCATTGCAAGCAATTGCCCATGTAAGGACAGAGGGCTGGGGAGCCAAATCCCTGAGCTGCATTCGATAAGAGCGGGCAGTGATGCACTTGCTCACATGTTCATGGATGTCAGAGAAGCTTCACAGAGGCCAAGAAGGGATTTTCCCTGGCTGAGAGCAGCATTGCACAACCAGAGTGTCTGGCAGGGATGGGGTCGTACCTCTCTCCAAGCCGCCACATCTGGATGGAGCAGCACAGCTGGGCTCTGCTTTCTGGCTGTGGACAGAAGGAGCTGGAGGCCAGGAGGGGAGCAATTCAGGCCCCTTCCTCCTTCATTGAGTGACGAAGGGCAGCAGTGTGCCGAGGGCTCGGGATCACCCCATGCTCTGCTGTCCAGGAAGCACTGATGGTTGTGAGGAGATGGTCTTGGGGAGGGGGCCGGAGCTGGTTCTCAAGCAGCACTGGGAGCAGAACCCACCTGAGCAGTCTGCTGCAAGCTGGGGGGGTCCCACTGCATCCCTTGCTGCACGCACCAATGGGGCAGGTAGCAGTTGCAAGCCAGCAGGTTGGCACTGGTACGGCAAAGGGAGAGAAAGGAAGGCTGGGAACCATGGGAGAAAGCTGCCCTGCTGCAGCACTGGGGCAGGTTTAGGGCCCCGCTGCTCTCCCTGGAGCTCAGCTCCTTGCAGATTGGGAGCCAAAGCCATCGGCCCACACGTGGGGCTCGGGGGCGGCGGGCAGAGCTGGGACAAAGGAGCTCTTTGCAGCCGCAGTGAATGGCAGCCTCGCATCTGACCTTTTCTGTCTGGGTGCTGGTATTGTGCTGGGTCAGGAGGTTCCCGTTACGCTTTGGTCTGCAGCGAGATTTCAGGCTGAGGTTCAAGAGGCAGCTATGACTCTGTTCCCTTGAACTGCCGGGATCCTTTAAGGAGGGAATCTCGCCTCTCTCATCAGTTCAGGCTAATTAAACTCTGCTAAACCGATTAGAGCTGCAATTTACAAGCAGACAGTCAGTTGAGAAGTGTTTCTCCCAGAACCCAGGGTCAGGGCACAGAGGTTTCATATCGACCCTGTGGGTGTAGCTGGGAGGTTTTGGACAAGTCCAGCAGAGTTCCAGATGCTGATTCCCCCATGAAGCATAGCAGGAGGCCCCAGCAGCCCACCACCCTCCCTGCTGCAGCAGCACTTGTGCAAGCAGCACCACCCCCTGTGTACCCCAAGGACAGGGTTGTTGGGGTGCTGGGGCTGGCTGCCTGCCTGCTGAGCACCGGATTGCAGCAAGGCCAGGGCAAGGCTTGACCCCAGCCTCAGTTTCCCTCTTTGCAAAGCCAGGTGAGCTGCTGGGTGCTGCCCCAGGGGGTTGGATTTTCTCTGCCGTGTCTGCATAGCCAGGCAAACCAGGGAGTTATGTATTGCTCACAGCTGCATCACCGGCGCTGGGGAGAGAGCACAGGGCTGAATGCTCTGTGCTTGGATCCCTGGTTGGGCACACTCCACCCCCAGCTCTGACACGCAGCTTCGCCCTATGCCCGGGGCAGCAGCGTCACCTCTCCAAGCCTCAGTTTCCCCATCTGCTGCGGCAAGATAATGTTCCTCTGCTTGATCCTGCACTATCTCACAGGAAGGTTGCATTAGCAGTTAGCTAATGGCTACAAGGAGCTTTGAAGATGAAAAGCCGTGAACAAATGCCAAGAAGTGCTGAGCTGGATGCTCCTCACCTCAGTAATCGTTTCATGTTACTGGGACACTTCCACTTCTGCAAAATGAGAGGGAAGGGTGGGAGCCTGAGTGCGGGGAGGGGCGCGGGGTGCCCGGCTTCCCAAGACCTGCCCCTGCAGATCTGATCACCGCTCGAGTTCTCATCACATGCAGATCCTCCTGCCCTTCCGCCAGCCTGACCTGCTGCTCCCAGCTCTGCTCCCTGCTGCAGCATCCTTGCTGTGCTGCACAGAGCCCTGCGTGCTGCTCCCACACTGCTGCCAACCACCTCACCACCCAGCCTCGTCTCACAGCCCCCAGCCCTCCTTGCTGCTCTTTGCCACCGCCTCATGCTGGTCTTTGGTGTGTCATAAAAGCACTCCTATCACAGGCAATTTGATTTAATTATTCGGGTAAGAATTCACAAGGCACTGTGTCAAATGCTTAATTAAAACCTCAATCTATGCTGCTGCCTGCACCCCACAGTGCGCGCTGGCAGCGATGCGCTCGGCACACTCTCTGGCTGCAGTTGGATGTGAGCTGTCTGCTCCAGCTTTGTAACCCCAGGAGCTCTGCCCTGGCTGGGAATGTCAAGAGAGGGACCCATTCTGCTTTCTCACTGTGCCCAGCATTGCACCAAAGCACAGCAGAGCTGCTGGGAGCATCGTGCAGGGCAGCACCCACAGTTTTGCACCCACAGTTGGTGCCTTGTTGCTCTTCACGGCTTTGTCCTGATGCCTCTTTCCTTCCAGCAGGGGAAGAAAAGAAGCCGGGTTGGAACTGAATTGGCTTTAGGGCCTCTTCCAGCACCAGCTATTCTGTGATTCTGTGGGAGGTGGAAGAGGGAGCGTGGGGGGAGCAGGCAGAGGGGAGGCAGTTGGGGCGTCCCGGGGCCCCACGCAGCCAAGGAGAAGGGGCTGTGTGCGACGGAGTGCGTTTCCCTCTGAGTGAAAGAACAGATGTCTCTTGTCTATGGCTTGCAGTTGGCTCTGGTTTTCATCTCCCCTGTCTATGCACACGCAGATTTATAGCTGCCTTAATTAGTTCCTTACAAAACAATCTAGTTGCCCGCATGCCTGTCTGAGCCCCGGGAGGTGCAACGGGCAGGAGGCCGGGGCAACGTGGGGTGGCACAGCCGTTCAGCAGCCCTGGCTGCCTGCATGAGCTCAGGTCACCTGCTGGGGCCGGGGGATGCTCTTGACACAGCCCTGCACGGCCCCATGGGTGCAAAGGGCTTCACCTCCTGCTGCATGCAGGGGATGCTTCTGTGGTGAAACAGGGCAGGCGAACACTCAGCTGCACGCATGCACAAAGCCACCCCAGCACACGTGCACAAAGCCACCTGTGCACATGCGCAGCTTGCACGCTTTGCTCTCTCCATGCCTTAACCTGCACAGCCTGGCCCCAGTGCTGTCCCCAGGTCCCCATGCATGGAGCTGCACGGTGATGCTTCTCTGAGCACCTTTCACGGGCACGCCGTGTAAACAAGCCATGACTCAGCTGCCCGTGTGGTTTCCCCAGTGGAAATGCTTCGTCCGCCGCTGTGGAAAGAGCAAAGATTGCCTGCAGGGAAGAGCCGACAGCTCCATAAAACGTCACGGAGCCGTGCAGGTCTGACTGGGGTGCAGGGGAGATGGTTGGGGTGAACGCTTCCCAGCCCAAACTGAGAGGTGTGCGTGCATTGCAGGCAGCTGAGGGCAGAGCCACTGCGGGTCCCACACCTCCCACAGAGCCCCATCCACCCCACAGCTCCCTTCAGACAAGAAAACTGACTGCTTACATAGCCCAGGCTCGCAGTTAGTAGAAAAACATGTTTTTCGCATTAAAATTTCCCTTGAAAAACAATGGTTTAAATTAAGCATAGGAAAAGAAAAGCAAGGAATCAAAAAAAAAAAAAAAGGGGTGGGGGTGAGGGAGGCGAAAAATATTTTTAAAAAGGGAAATTTGAGGTGGAGCTCAGAAGCAGTCCCCCGAGGGCTGCAGCTTTCCCCCATCCCATGGAGCTCCTGGAAGCAGGTGGGGTCCCAGGGACTGTGCAGCACTGAATGTGGTTGGAGGAGATGCTGGAGGCTGCGGTGCAGAGCTCAGCCCCAGACGGGCCAGAAAGGGTGAGGTGGGGGGATGCAAATCGTCTGATCTGTCTGTGAGGGAATTCAAAAGGAGGCCGATTCAAATCCGTCGTGACACGAATGGGTTGGGGCTGGCAGACGATCCCTGCGGTGGTTGTTAACAAATCTCGCCGCTTTCCTTTGAGTGGCCTCCAATATATTAATTAAAATAAGCAATTATACACCATCTGGGTGGAGAGGAGCAGGGAGACCAGCTGCACCAGTTCTTCTCCCTTGGCAGGAAGGGTGCAGGAAGGCATTGGGGCTTGGGGAGCTCTATGAGAGCACAGCCGGGCTGTGCCCAACAGCTGCCTGCAGGTCTCCAGACTGACACAGCTGGGTGAGGAGAGCAGGGATCGCCTTCCAGCAACCACTTTGTATAAGAAGACAGGGGCCCAGAGGCTAAGTCCTTATAGAAAATGACCTGCCCGTGTCATGGGGGAGGTGGGAGCAGAGAGGGAAACCGAGCGCAAAGCAGCCCAGGATCTGCTGGTTTGTGCTGCTTGCCCTTTCCAGAAGGTCCACATCCATCCCCAGTGATGGGGAATGCTGTGAGCAAGAGACCCTCCCCCCCCCAACCTCCCAAAGAACAGGAGATGGGGCCGGCAGAGTGGGAGTGCCAGGGGAAACACGTCTGCTCAGTGCAACGTCTGTGCAGAACAACAGCCACATGTCTGGGCTTTATCTCAGCGCAGCACATCTCGTGTCAGCAAATCCCTCAGTCACAGGGTTTTATCCACGGCCTGCAGTTTGTTAATTAGAAAAGTTCCTGCCTGCAGGGCACGCTCATGCCCAGAGAGACCCTGGTGCTGGGGATCCTCACCCTGCTGACACCCTCAGTGCGACGGGCACAGGACCCAGCACCACACACATGGATGCATATGCACACACACACACACATAAGCATGCACATGTGTGCACACACACACAGAGCCCACGGCAGCCCCTCAGCAGCCCCTGGCACGCTGGCACCACTGGAATTAAGTCATGTCTCAGGAGGTGAGCTCATCACCAACACCCACAGCCGGGCACTGCGAGTGGCAGCAGAGGTGGCCGCAGGCCCTGCCCAGCCCCACCAGGTACCCTGGGAACGTGGCACCACATCTGTGCCGGCTGCAGGAACACGCCCTGCCCTGAGGCCTGCTCCCATGTGAAACCCAGCCTTCCTCCTCCTCTTCCTCCTCCTGACAGTGGCATCACGCTCTTTGCATCTCCTGCAAAGGCTCCTGTCAGGCTTATGGGGTGGCTGCCAGCTCCATGCCATTTGCCCCCACTCCTGAACCCAGCAGGTCTCAATGTGAGGCTAATGCACTCCCAGGTGCCTGGGAATTCAGATCCCTGGTTTGGGGTCACAGAGGGACACTCATCCCCACCACCACTGTGGTATAGCCCAGAGGTGCCCCTCCCCCCATCCCCATCCCACCCCACCCCATCCCATCCCCATCCCATCCCATCCCATCCCCCCCCCCCCCCCCCCCCCACCCATTCCTCCCATCTCCCCTCATTCCCCGCCCCAGCAGCACCCTGCTCTGCTGATGCAGACTCTGGAGGTGCCACCTCCTCCCTCATCACTGCTCTGCAGCACCGTGAGAAAGCCGCCCCACCGCTGCCTTTGGGGTGACTCAAATCCTCTCTGAGCAGACCCAGCTCCCTCCAGGCGATGGGGTGGGGGCAGGGCCGATATTTAAAAGAATATGGCTTTTTTTTTTCACGGGAAAACCGCTTTGCCCTCTTTTTGATGGGCTCAGTCTCTCTCCAGGTCTTTTTTTTTTTTTTAATAAGGAAATTATTCGGCTTTTGAGTAATCGTTAGTCTTTATTAAAGTAATTATTAGGCTTTATTACCGAGATGAAAAGCACAGATCTGGAACGAGAATGGGGACGGGAGCGCGCCTACGGCTCCGCGTGCCGCGCAGCGCCATTGGCCCCGCCCCGGTAAGCCACGCCCCCTCAAAAGACACGCCCCCCCTCAGCACCACCCACTTCGCGCGTTTCTGCCGCCGTGCACTTTTTGTCCCCTCTCAGCCACCGTCCCTCCTCCGTACGTCGCCGGGCGGGGCGGGGCGGCGCGGGGGGGGTGGGAAGATGGCGGAGGCTTCCCCGCAGCCGGGCCGCTTCTTCTGCCACTGCTGCTCGGCCGAGATCGCTCCCCGCCTGCCCGTGAGTCGGGGGAGGCGCGGGTGCCGCCGTGACGGGGTCGGGAGAACCGCGGGACGACGCTGGGGCGGGCAGAAACCCCGCGGGGCGGACACGTGGGGATGAGGCCTGGGGGGGCCGGGCCGGGGCCGAAGGGGCGGTGGGGGCTGCGGCGATTGGGGGCCGCTGAGGGGGAGGGGGAGGCCGCAGGGCCGGGCGGGCCTGAGGAGCACCGCCGCCTTCCCGCGTTCCTTCCTCTTCCCCTCTCGCTTCGTCCCCAAAGGCGCGGCCGTCCCCCGCCGTCCTTTGGCTCTGCGTTGGGCCCGCTGAGCTGAGCGAGGCTTCGGGCTGTACTGCTTCGGTCGGAGCCCCTCGGGGCTTTGCCGGGGTTTCTACTGGAGATACGGGCCGGTCAGTGCCGCGACGCGGGGGCGGCGGGAGGAGGGGGGGAGGGGGCGGGAACTGAGCTCTGCACGAAGCCCGGCTCTGCTGCCGGCGTGGAACCACTTCACAGAGCGGGCTGCTCGGCTGCCAGATGCTGGCTTTGATTCGGGGATCCCTTTGGCTTTTTGGGTCTTACCGAGTCTATTCTAAACCATTCCGTAGTGTCTCGTCAGAATAAGGCGTTGCTTTTTCTTTTTTTTTTCTTTTTTTTTTAAATCACTCACTGCGTTCTAAAAGTCGCCTGTATGCATTTATTTACCGTGGTTGTGTCGATTGGGTGAGTTTGGGTTTGAAACGTGCTGCGTCCTTTTGCTCTCTCTCAGTGCTTAGGTGAGGGTGGGCCTTGGTGGCAATTGAGCAAAGTGTGTTTGAGTCTGAAGACGAAGCTGGTGATAACGCTCCTGCTGAGCAAACAGCCCAGCTGGAGAGAAAGTGGCTCAGGAGCTGAAAGGCTGTAATCCAGGAACAGGAGGCTCTTCTTTGTGTTCCAGTGGCCTGTGTTGGTTTTGGGCCAGCAGAGTGCATCTAGTAGCGAGCATCAGGCTCTGGCAGGGAGCTGACAGCTTCTTTCATTGATGCAGATCTCATGATAGTCAACAGGCTTGTTTCAGGATCCGAGCTTACTGGTTTTACTTCCCATTTGCAGACCTCACTGCTGAAGGTAGCGTAGCATGAAGTGGAGAAAGATTCATTCTAGCAACCTGAGAAACAATGAGCTGTGACATTTGTGCTGTTCCAGCTGCAAAGGAATTTGCTGATCTCTACATTCAGTCTGTAAACAAAGAGAAAACAAACCCATGCAACTCCCTTATATGGGAGAGGTGAGAGGATTGCATGGCTGACTTCTTGTGTCGAGTGTAATAATTTATCCTGATGATGTATGGGTGAAACGTAAACCAGGATGAGGTTATTGCAGGCATAATTGATGTGTTTTCCTGTAGAGTGTGCAGGAGTTCCTGCATGCTGGTGATTTGGTGCAGAAATGCTCTTGAAATCAAACATTGTGCAAATTCTCTAAATGCAGTTATTTCACAACTGCCTGCCCGGAGGAGGGAGGGAGCAGCAGCTTCTCTGTCTTGGGATGGAGGATGTCTGCTGCTTCCTTATCTTGCTGGGCAGACAGAGACAGGGCTGAGTGGATCTCTGGCCCTGCTGCATTTTGCTTGGGTTTTATCTTTTTTCTGTCTGTGATGCCTTGAGGAGCAAAGCCCACACAGCTGTCAGCCTCTCCTCTTCCTGGGAATCTTGGTGCCTTAGGACAATTCGGATGCAGCAGTGGCAAGGGTGTGAAGTTTCTACATGAGGCACTGTCTCTCCCAGGTCCTGTGCCATGGCAGCCCTGAACCAGGCTCAGTTTGGGGCTGGGTGCAGCATCTGTCACTTCCTCTTGTGACTCAGTGCTGTCCTGTGGTGTCACTTCTCATGTGGCTGCCTTGTGCTAAACAGCCCAACGATTCCTTGAGTGAGCTGAAGTGCTCTGGGCTCCCTTTGGCTGCAAGTGTGCTCACAAAGTATAAATTCCTTGCACCCAGAATTAAGGGGGAGGGGGGAAAGTGACTGTAGCAAACTCTTGAAGAATCCTGCTCTGAATACACAGGCTGTTTATTCTGTCACATTCAGTCTTCAGTATCAAAAGCCACAAGGGTGGCAGTAGCTCTCTGTAATGAGCGTGGGAGTGTGACATTCTGGTATTGTGTGCTGCAGAATGACCCACTTGTGTCTCCTCTGAGTGCTGGGAACCCCAGACAACATCAGCCATAGCTTTCCATTAAGCCCTTCCTAAGTGAGAACGATGCTGTAATTAGCCTGATTCCCTCATCTCATTCGTTAGGATGCTGTAGCCTTCAGGGGGGTGGCAGGGGGAAGCCCCACAAACACACAGATATTTAAAGGGCAGTGTTTCAGTGCTGACCTTCTGGGAAAGCTGGTGGGTTGGCTTTCACTTTGCTCTGAACTGCATCACATGTTACCTCATGTTTTGTCTGTGCTGGGGATCAATTAGTATTATCCACATCTTATATAAATCCAAGTTCAAAGCAGGTTCAGGCTTCATGGTTTCCCTTCCTGTTGGTGTGAGGGGTGGCTTGGGGGTCCTTGTGGCTCTGCATTCTCTGCTTGCCATCTGTGCCAAGTCACAGTGGTAGTGGGTGTACTTAATATAGCTTTCATAGGAGCTCTGCTGTATCTGTATTGGCTGGCCAAGCCATTTTTACCCTTAAAATAAAATTGAATGGCATTTAAAACTGGGTTACAGAAGTGCTCAAGCCAGGTGGTGAGAGGAGTCCTTCTGTCTACGCCTGATTACTTGGTCAAGTATCTTAATTTGGGCAGAGTTCCCTAACTAACAAGTACAGGGTGGGCTA